ATCTTTGAATCTGCTCCATTTCTGAAATATCTTTTAAGGTTTGTGTAAAATGTATCTCTCTTTTTGTCCTCAGCTCGTTGGTAACGCACGAACATACACTTATGTTCAGGAACAATCAGTTATTGATCCCAAAGAGCAGACTTTTGAACTTCAGTCTTCAAATGTGAGTACTAAAAAGTTTTTAAAAAATTATAAATATTGTATAAACACCTCCTGCTTTTTGGCTCACAGTGGGTGAAAAACCAGATTACCGAGCATGGATCAAAGCACACTTTTACGGTCGTACCTTGTTGTGCTGCCAGCTGAATATAGACCATGATGCTGGCAACCAGGAGCAAATCTGATTTCATTTCTGACTGCTAAGAATGGGAGAATCTTTCTTACATGTTCTTATGAGACCTGTTTGACATGCACACACCTGAAGAGTTTCTGTGACTTAATCCCGGAATCAAGTCCAACTTGTTAAATTGCGTGAGAAGTCACTTCTTAGCAGAGTGCATTTTAACTTTAGAGGCACATGTAGAGTATTTTGGAACTAAAAAAGAACTTCAACTTTGTGATTCAATCAACTTATTAAGAGCATGAAAATCTTCACGTCTGATATGTTTTTGATTTAGTTCAGTCTCTTACTGTTCTTATTGTCTTGGAGACACCATATAATCTGCAGATCATTTTCTTATGGATTAATAAGTATTCTGATTTGTAACTAGTCTTTTGTGAACTTGCTTCGCCGCACCTGCAATAATGGAAGAATTTAAGTTCTTTCTTTTTTCTTTTTGTTAATGCCTTTTCTGGTGTTTTAACAATTGACTTATGGTTTTTGTCCTTCTGCTGTTAGGCATGATCTCTCCATAATCTCACAATTTGCATTTCCCTCTCTCCAGATCACTTTCACAAACATGGTATCTGTGGATGAAAAATTAACATATATACCACACCCTGAAGATCCAGAAAAGTAAGTTTTAACACTGTTACACTGATGTAACATGTGTTATAAACACTCTGAGCTTGAAGTGTCAGATTGTTCAAGGCATTTTTTTTTTTAAACTTTGATTTCACAATTTTTTTTAGAACAATATTGACCCAGGAGGCTATCATCTCTGTGAAAGGGGTCAGTCTCAGCAGCTACCTGGAGGGAGTTATGGCCAGCACCATCTCTACTAATGCTGGAAAGGTAAGAGGTTCCTTCAAACTGAGATTGGTCAAGTTTTAAGTAGTTTTGCATGTGACTAGTGTTGGTTAAATAACTAAAACCTAGCTGTAATTACATATAGGCAGAAGTGTTTATAGCCATTGCAAATCACAAGAAAAGAAGGGAGATGATAACTGTTATGCTGGGGCAGTAGCAGCAGATTTGTGGCATTTCACTTGTACATCCAAAAGTACTTGTCTGGAAAAATCTTTAAAAACTACGAGATGACTAGTCAACAGCTTAACGTTCTCTCCAGACCAGTCGCTGCATGAAGTGGGTTTACGTGTTTCAGGCACGCCGTCTCTTC